GTGAACCACCTCCACCTGAGAGACGCACTCCCAACGGGCTTTACGTCGAGGTGCACAAGGTCCTGGGTCGACACTCTGAACCTTGACCTCGGTGCAGCGCAGCAGCTTTGCCTGGTTTTACTTTATTTAATGTGTGATAAGGTGGGATCATTCCTTTAATCCTTATATATAGTAATTCATGTGTGTAAATGTATTTCTGTGTTTTTCATCCATGTGTTATTAGTTCAGTTGGCACTAAACTCACTCGGCACAGCAGGGCTTCAGTAGGTTGTACTGATGGTGTGACACAGTTTATGCGATAGTTTATTCTTTAAAAATGATTACAGACCACAGCACAAATTCACTTGTCAAATCTACTTCACTTCCAGAGGAGAATTCACTGATTGCAGCAGGTTTAGTTAGTGTGAAATTTCAGTTTCAGTAAAACTGGTGTGACTGAGCCCTTCACAAGAAATGACAACGGTTTTAAAAAAAGGGTAATATTACAGCAGCTGGGGCTCAGAAATAATACCGAAAATGATTTATCATCATTATATATTACATATATGTGATCACTGATCATTTTATATGACATATAATGATTAAAAAATCGTAAGATTACAAAATTGTATAGATGCACAACACTAACTTCTGTGATTTAACAATATTTTTAGCTTAGAAATGTTTTTACAGTAATAATGTTCAATTTAAAAATGTAATTCAGTTAAATAAAAGAGATATTTGTCAAATTACCTTAAATGTATTATGTGAAAACATTTCAAGTTTCTAAAAAATAATAATAATAATTTTGAAAAGTTTTATAGTTATTCAAGGGTACAGGTTTTAAAATTATGATTTTACAGCAGACAGAATTTTTTTGTAATTCTATCATTTTTGCACATAATACATAAAAATGAATATAATTATATATTATAACTAACATGTTTTTATACAATACAATATATAATAGTAAATGAAGAAGATGAAGAAGAAGAAGAAGAAGAAGAAGAAGAAGAAACTCCCCCCAGTGTTTCGTACAAAACCAAAGGCGAATCTGATGGCAACTTGTAATCCTCACTAGGGTCGTGGGGGGCAGGGGACACTCTGGACAGGTCACCAGTCCATCCCAGGGCTACACTTAGAGACAGACAACCAAGCCATCACTAATTAACCTCAACATGTTTTTGGACTGTGTGGGAGGAAGCCGGAGAACCTGGAGAGAACCCACACTGCACGAGGAGAACATGCAAACTCCCTGCAGATCCCAGGTGTCCTCACCAGGACACTAACCGGCGACCTTCCTGCTGCGAGGCAACGGTGCTAACCACTGCTCCACCTTGCAGCCCTAAAGTTAAAATCTGCCAGTAAATTTAACCACCCAAAGTTACATTGTACCTGCTTTTATCAAACATCTTTTGATCATACACCACATGTATACTTCATGTGGATCATTTGAATTTTCATTCAAATTTTTTGTAAAAGAGCAGATAAGACGGAACCACATGGGTTCATCTATTTAGCATAAGAATGAACAGTGATATTAAACATATTAACATATTTCATCCTCTCTTTATTCACTGTAATATCCCCATTTTTGGTATTAAAAAGCCCTAAAAACACAGCTTTGAAACGTTATCAGAGCGTGAACTGTCACATTTGGACATATTAAAAAAAATACAATTCTATGTTTTATTACAGAACCAGAAAGACTGCGTTCATGTTTATGAATTTTCCGCAGGTCTGTGTGTAATTTGGATCAGGGCCGAGCTCGGTCAAAGCAATTTGCTTTTTGCATTCAAAGTGTTGAATCGGTGCGGTGGATCCGTTTGACTGTCCACATCCAAACCTCTGCTCTGCCCCGAATACTGAGTGCAGTCGACTGTCATTCTCACACCCACTCACTTTTCATCTTCACCTCGGCCCGACGTTCTCCCTCCCAGGTTTCAATATGCCATCCTTCATCCTCCATTTCTCAGAAGATTCCATTTACCTTCTCTATATATTTCACTGACACATTTTCCAGCCCTTTTCGTTTCTTCTTTAAGCCCCCACCACCGCCGCCGCCGCCCCCCCAGCCCTTCCCTTCGCTGTCCCTCTCCCTCTAAAGCAATCATCCTTCTTCCTTTCTCTCTTTATTTACATGACACCGAGGTTCTCTCTGAGGCAGGTGCGGATGGCAAAAGGCAGGCTTTTTACAAAACGGTTCAGGTTTAATATCTTCCCCTTGCTTTTCATCACAACCCAAGAGCTTCATAGCAGAACTAACAGTCCTCTCGTAATCGCATTGTCCTTCTGTAAATATCATGGGCCCAGTCTCATCTTTATTTTATTACCACCTCTATCACTAAAGACCCCCAGTGTGGACCAATATCGTTTAGGCTTGAGGGCCAGCCGACGCCGTTCTCATATCGTCCACCCCTGAACTGCGCAAAACACCGCATGTGAGACACTGCAGCAGTAGTTAGATTTATATTTGGCCTAATATCGCATTCCTAGTCGCAGCAGAATAAAGAGATCTCACGAAACCAGCTCAGAGAGAGAAATTCAGATTTAAGGATTTAAGTGTAAAATATAAAAACTTTTTGTTTGGGTTTTCACACGGTTGAACGCTTTCATTCACGAAGCAGCCATTCATTGGTTGTTTGATATGCAGAGTGGAATAATCCCTCAAAACAATTACAGAAGAGAAAAACTCTCTTCAGACTTCTTTGTCATCTACAAAGAACTACAGAAACACAAACACTGTGTGAAGGAGCTTTTATCTGTCTGTGGTGGAACACACAGATGGACTTTATGGGATTTGGACGCAACATCTTGAACTCTTTGTCGTGTTTCTCAAACCGTTCCTGAACAATGTTTGCAGCGTGGCAGGGAGGATTATCCTGCTGAAAGAGGCCAACAGAAATACAGTGAATGTGTGGTCTGCAGCAACGCTTGTCAAAGTAACATCTACATGAATGTAGGACTCAAGGTTTACCAGCAGAATATTCTCTTCTAGCAGTAAAAAAAAACATTCATCAAATCACACAACCACCTAAGATGCTCACATGTCCACTATAGGTACTTTTGGCTGTAAACGGAGGTCAACACGTCAACGTTTTCAGCAGTTTGCGCTCCAGCAGCTCGTCTGTGGGATCAGACCACAGCCAGTGAGCCTTGGGTTCCCATGACTTCAAGCAGTTCACTGTTGCTATTACCTGCACTTTTGGTAAATAGCAGCCGACACATTCCACCCACTGACAGGAGCCATTGTAACAAGACATTTAATGTTATTCACTTTAGCTGTCAGTGGTTTTAATGTTGCTGTTCAGTGTATTTATGATATAATATACAGTAAAACAAAGGCGCCTTTATTTAAACCTTTTTACATACTTTTATTACCATTACCACTATTAGTAATATGACTGTTATTAATACTATTATTGCTATTATTCACATTGTTGCAGTTGTTGCTGCCACTGTTGCCGTTAGTTTTTGTTGCTGTAATAGTTATTGTTGCGGTTGTTGCCGTTTTAAATATTGTTGTGGTTATTTCTGTCACTGTTTCAGTCTTTGTTGTGGTTGTTGCCTTTATTGAGATTGTTACTGTTGCTGTTGTAGGTACTGTTGCAGTTATTTTTGCTATTATTGCTGCTATTGTTGCGGTTGCTGCTGTTATTGTTGCCGTTTCAGTTATTGTTGCAGTTGTTGCCGTTAATATTGCTGTTGTTGCCGTTGCACTTATTGTTGCAGTTGCTGTTGCCGTTATAACCGTTCATATGTTTATTTTAATCAATCAGCCCTATGCAAAGTGCAGTAAGTAAAAAAGACCCAAATCCATACTTGGTGATATCTGCCTTTAAATTATAAACCCTGGACTATTTTCAGGGTAATTTCACTACCTTGATGGAGTTTTTTTTCTTGGTTATTGTAAGTGTTCAACATAGATGCTGTAGCTTTTTTTTTTTTTTTTCCCCAAAACAGTCTAACCAGATCTTCCATGGTTTTATACACTATTTCCACATCTTCAATATTAGCCTTCATATCAAAGAAATCATGTTTTTTAAAAATAAAATTACTATATTTTTATATACATTTCACTCTAAAATGCTGGCAGTGGGAATATCTTTTCAAATCTGTGTAGGAAAGATTATAAGAAACCTGGTAACATAGAACCACGATGGTAGGATACTCTATGACTGAAATTAGGAAAAATATGTGCTAATATATGACCAACTGTGGTCACATGCAGTAACCTCCTTGTAGAGACGATAAACATGATGCAATGAAATCACGAGCAATTCAAAAAAGCATCATGAATGTGGAGGTAGATGCAGAAGTTTATGTCGACAGCAACTTTGATTACATTTTGTGTAATTTCGAAGTTATTTTTTTCTCACTGACACTTTGTTGCACAGACAAGCAACTAGTACACTTGAAAAGGTCAAGTCATGTGGTTTTATTTGATATTGATTGATGTGATGCACTAAAGCTCACTGCAATAAACACTTTGAGAACAAATCATCCAAGAAGGAGGGATGTGAATTTGGACGTGACATACCTCCGTCGAGCTCAAAGGGTTAAAACAGCACTGATACACTTACAGGCAAACCTGCACACAGTGATTTCAAGGTGAGCTGTTCTACAGATTAAAGCTTTTTCTTCATATAATCCAAGACTGACTCGAGGATGTTGAGGTCGTGACTCCTTGTTAGTCTTCATGGCTGAAGGTAGTCCTTTATAGACTCTGGCTGTGTTTGGAATCACTGTCATGCAGCAGAATGAGCTTGTTGTCGATCAGACGCCTCCGTGGTGGTGTTATGTGATCGACAAGAATCTAAACATCTGAAATCTGCCTGCAACTTTTGCACGTTACTGCCACTGGCCTCCGAGTCATATATTCAACCTCCACAAATAGTTCAGGAGGTACTAACTGACAAAAAAGGTGCAAAGACTTAGGCCACGTTTACACATAGCTGGGTATTTACAAAAAACGGATCTACGTTTTCAAAAATAGTATTGTTCACACCAGATCGTTTTCAAAAAAAACTTCTTTTACACAAACCCGCATAAACGTGTCACTAAGAGCTGCTATGAGCATGCCGAACCTATAGGGGGCAGCGTAACGACAAGTATAAAGCCATGCTAGCCAATCAGAATCCTGGAAAAAACACAACAACGAATGGCACGATTTACTTCCTGTTACTTCAACGATAATGTTTGTTTGGGCCGACAGAGAAGTGGAGCTACTCCTAAACGTGGTGTTAGAGTACAAAGCAAGTAAAATACTATACCACTAAATATTAACTTACTTTCACAGTAGCCAACCTGTAAACATGGGTCACACATATGACGCTGATGACATTTTTGTTGCATACTGTGACGTCAAACTCCGTCTCCTCCTGTCTACACGCAAACGTAAAGACAGACACCTCCACTGTGGCCAGAGTTTTCAGATATGATCGTTTTCAGTGACTTGTAGCTTTGTTTACGTGTAAGCCAAAGGCCCAGACGCATTGAAACAACAGCATTTTCGCTACGCGTAAACAGGGCCTTATTAAGAACGTGACCCAAAAGGAAAAACTGAGTAGGAGGTAATTAGACCCAACTGTGAAATCATGAGTTTTTATGGGAGACGTCACATTATGAGGAAGAAAGAGGAAAACCTCTGCAACAGAGTACAGATGCTAGTGGTGGACAAAGAGTAAAGAAAAAGTCCCAAGTTATGCCAAATCTGTCTCACAAAAATCACATTCTTACAACTAAATAGCATGCTGAAAGTAATGTATTTTCTGACCAAAAGGTAAAACCGTGACGTAGAGGAAAGGCTTGTAGTCTGAAAGAGCCACAAAGTCTTGGTAAAAATGGAGGCATACGTCAGCAACAGGACTTTCAGCCAGGAGATCAGGGCTCATCTCCAGCGTAACACCATTGTTGTTAGAACACAGTTCAGTTTCACTCACTGATTAGGTTTAGAAAAGCTTTGCTAAAGTTTAGGCACCAAAATTACATGGTTAGTTGAAATAACAGGGTTCAAATACAACCCTTTCACAATAGGGTCCTTTTTATGACACCCTTGCTGCCAGATCTACTGAATTCTTTTATTTGCAGTGAGGAAAAAAATACCAAACTACTGCAGAAATTCTACTAGTGGCAAGTTTTTTTTAAAACATTCGTCAGCTTGTGTTGATAACTATGGTAATTAGGTAAGAAATATAGAAAAAATAACAGAAAAACTGGTAAATTAATACATTTTCACGACTAATCAAGTAAAAAGAGTTTCGTTATTAAGTAAATAAAGATACCTAATTCCACCAACTTGGCATATTTTGTTGGTTGATCATATTATATTTATTAGATGTTGTCTTAACTGAAAAAGATTGACGTTACTGTTAAAGCTGTTGAGTTTTTTTCCTTGTTGAGCCCAAACATTATTCTTTTAGAGCCTCATGCGGATCATCACCCTTCATGAATTTAACACACTTCATCCACTTGGCTGTCCACATCCTCTGATGCAAAAATAAACCAAACCACACAAACACGCACACGTCCAAGCACAATATCGGACAACAATGTGCACTAATGGCGGCACACGTGCGGCGCTCACGACGCACATGCACACACAAGTTTTTATTTCACACTTCTCCTGAACTTCCACTGAGGCTGAACAGATGTTTTGTCCAACAGAGATCTGAGCTGCATGTTTCCCTGAGCACAGAGGGGAAAAAGGAGGAGAGAAAAGTTGGAACAAAGCACAGAATCCCCATCAGACTCCATGTCAGCTGTTCAAAATAGTCCATCAACACACACACACACACACACACTCTGCTGGCAATCTAAAAGCACGATGTAAGCACAACTCTTTACTTATGAAAGGACATATGTCACGTGTTTGCGTGTGTGCAGCCGTAAAAAGTGTCTCTGAAGCTCCTTTTATGAAATCCTTCAATATAATCAACAAGCACAATCTCTCCCTGCTGTTTCTGGTTTATAGTGTGCGTCATGTTGTCAGCTGTTTATTAATGGATTCCCACTGGAGCAGCACATGCTACTCACTGATTGCTGCTACACAGGAGCGATTCAACCTACTTACTGTACGGCCATTTTAAGAACGCTTTCATAGTCTTTTCTCGGGAAAATCTTTGTGTTTGCAGGCAATCAAGCATGTTGTGTTGTGTTTGGGATAAACAGAAGAAGAAGAAGAAATGGTAATTCTGTGCTGCTCAGACAAGAACAGAAAAGAAAAAAAAAAAAACGAGCTGCACAGAAAGAAACTTCAGCAATAACGCTAAAATTAAATGTCATGATAAGTTACGGTTTACAGCTTTAATCTGTGGCGTAAATTTTGTTTTAACTCCAGTCAGACTGCAATTACACACTTTAAATTAGCGGCACTGCTGCATATTGTACAAGGCATCATGCTCGGAGTCATTAGCCGGAGCGACAGCACAGTGATGATTATTATTCCCATCATTGCACATGCACCTTTGTGCAGCTTCTGTAATTCATTCATTTATTTATTCACTTCGGATCTCATGGTGATGTGGTTATAATTAACACAACATACATCATCATGTGTCACTTTTTAGAAACAATTAAACACGTGGCCGTGGATGCATCGGAAACTTTTCGCAAACACGAACCTGCACAGCCGAGAAAGTCTTAATTAAAGCGAGGAGGAAGTTGCAGTGTCGAGTGTTTGTGGGAGAGAAGACTTGTTTTTCTGTCTTATCCCGCTGCCTCCGTCGTAATGATTCTACGCGCTGCTTTGTTTGTTGTGAAGCACTCTGAATATTGTTTTTCACATGAAGTTTATTATCAGTGTCTCACCCCTAATGTACCTTGACCAGCAAACAGGAAAAAAAAAAAAACATGCATCTAGTTTATTTTTATACGAAACCATCAGAAAACAGAACCCACCCACGCCAGCCACTCCTGCTTCGCGATTGTCATGTAGCTGTTCTGATTTCCTGCTAATTGTGATCCTGAGATGAAAAATTAACCATCAGCTCTGAGGTCAGGCGCTCTTCGCTGCAGGTCATTACAATGGGAGCTAAATGACTGACTGCTGTAATGTGACGATGTTGAGCTCACAGAAACAGTCAGGGTGAGTAATTGGCCCAGTGCAGCAGAGATATTTGTATTTCCCCCGCAGAGAAATAACCGCACCCCCCCCAGAGCACCGCAAAGAGAGCGAATCGGCAGGCAAGACGAACTTGCGGAGCCTTACAAGTCAAGATAATTCTCAAGTGCAGTGGGGAGAAATTGGCAGATTGAGAGGAGAATAAGTGAGAGAGGCAAAAATCCTTTGCATTTTAATGAAAACTTTGAATTGAACGTTTTTAAAAAAAAAAAAAAAAGGAAGGGGGAGGAAGACAGTAGTACATAAACAAAAAAAACAAACAAAAAAAAACAAGCAATACAGCGTTAGCTTTGGGGGGGTTTGATGGAATTTTTAACCAGGCGAGAGTATGTGTGTGTGTGTTACGCCATCATGATGAGGACGACTGACACACAAACCTGGTGGAGGTGTGAGGAGAATGTGTGATGACTTCAGCCATCAGCTCACCTGAGCGATCAGGGACTTCGGAGGAGGAGGAGGAGGAGGAGGTGGAGGCCGATCGGCTGCTTGAAGAATTCATGAGGTCCTGACAGAAACGTCTCATAAGCAGCGACTGTTTCACATAGTCAGCTGGACAGAGATATTTTACAACTAATGAAGGGTAATAGCCAAAATGATGGACCAACATTCCTCACAGTGACCTTTCAGGTAGGCTCGGCCCTGTTTGCGTGTCTTGTGTGTGCGCTGAGCCAACGGCAGCCTGATAAAAGCGGATCGAGCAAAGCTTCTTGAAGGACGAGTGACCTCATACATCATGCTGGCATTCCTCTGCACAGTGGTGAAATGAGGGATTTACTATCCCACTCCTTCCCTCCTCGCATTCGAGCGCGCGCACACTGCATTTATCCCACTATACTTGCGAGGACCCTCATTGACATAATGCATCCCCCCCCGCTTGAAACATTTCGCTGATCCTACATGACCAAACTTTGCTTTGACCTGCAGCTAATTATGACACCACATCAATTCTGAACAACAAAGAAATGAAAAAAGTCTCCGCTGTTGTTCTGAAATTAACATTTTTTTTCAAAGGCATCCACAAAGGCTGAGTCAGGAGGTACAACGGGAGGATGGAGACATTATTTTGCCACTGGACTTTTATAGTTTGTATCCACAGGACCCGTCACTTCAACGCTTCCCGTCTATGCGTTCTGGTGAAGCCGTGTTGCGTTCTAGAGAGGTCTCGGCTACTTTATGCAAACAAGGAGCGTCGAGCATGGTCGGACTCCTCACGAAACTTTCCAAACACTTTTAAACTAAACCTTGTTCATCTAAAATGAAGACAAATTCAGCAGCTTATTTCGCGCCTGAAATGTTTTTGGAAACATTTTGTTGAACTGTTTTTTCGTAATAAAGGAGAAAGTGTCCAAGCGAGTCTCCACGTTGATGCAGTTTGAAATCCAGGAGCGGAGAGCCTTCAAGTGAAGCGTTGCCTGATCGGATGCAGCAAATATTTGCAAGGACACAGGTGGGTGAATCCTGTGTTGATTCCTGCTGATGAGCACCGACCAGCGGCATGTAAAACCTCCCCATTGACAACGGAGCATCACTCAGGAGCATCAGGTCATTCATCTTGGGCTTAAGTTACATTTTCAGGCCTTATTTACATCAAATTTTCTCTTTCTGGTTCAGTTCAGGCAAAATATCTCGCTTTGTTCGACACTTTCATATGTTAGCAGCTTGGTTAAGGCTCGGCTTGGGTTCAAACATGACACTTAAACTCAATATTGAAGCTTCTCCTCCATTTTCTGGGTTGCTAAGTTCGCCCAACGTATTATTCAAAGTTCCACATCTGATATTTATTTAATGTCATAAGGTCAGAATCACTGATGATGAAACTGAACGTTGAACACTGAACTAACATTTATTCAAATTCCAGATGGTTGAGAGTCAAAATACATTCGAGGTCACAACCCCTGAACTCCACCACATGATCTCACTACAAACATCATATCTCCTGTGACTGACGCAGCAAGAAAACAAGGCAGACTGTCTATTTCTGTAGTAATTACAAAACAAAGCAAATTAGCAAGTTCTCCAGCTTAACATTACGGCATGAAATCAGCAGCAACAAGTCAACAATCTCTCCAGATGGCTGTATTATAAAACATGATTAACGAGTTAGCAGGTATGTTGAGAGTCAAGTCAGTTTTCCATGTCACAAAGGTGACCCCTTTTTTTTTTTTATCTGCTAGATCACCATAGTAACTGATTCTGCACGGCTAACCTGCATTAGAGGAGTATCTGTTCACAGCTTGGGATTTAAATCGGCTGAAAGTAGAGCCACCCTTTCACCAGTTTATTCCCTGACAATTCTCAGATTTATATTTATGTTATATCTGCACAGCCGTTGAGCCGTATGCCTGTAATACCACTGAACGAAGCAATGGACTTACTGTATCACACACTGTATGCATTGTGTTGCCACGGGAACCTACATGTATTTAGCTGGTTATACAGAAAACGCATACATTTTTTAATATTTAGTCCTAATTTGCAGTTAAGTCCATTTTACACCACTGGTACTGGCACCTAATAGAACACAAATTACATGTATCACAGAAAATATTCAACCAATAACAATAATTTAACTGTGATTTGGCCAAGAGCTAAAGTGATATCCTGCATTACGGGACAAAGTCAGACCAAAACATACTTCTTCGTCATCATGTTTAAATGAATGACGCTTCAGAGCTTTGATGTGCAGCTGTCGCGTTAGAAATAAACAGTTGCCTTGATAGTTCACTAAGTGAGAAAATGAATATACCAACATACAATCAACTGTTTCCTACCAGCATTTCTCTGCTGCAAAATTTGCAGTAACAGCATTTTTTTTTACAGAAACCAAAATTTTATATTTTTCTTGGCTCTCTATCAGTAGGCAGCACGTGATTGGCCCATTTTGTGTGGAAGGAGAGTCACATGACACAATAAACACTCCCTTTTGAGAAAGAATGCTCAGTCTAAAGATTAAAACCTGGTTAACATGAAACGTCGATAACCATCATCATGATACTCATTGCCTCTTATGGGGTTTTAGGTTTTGTTGAGCCAGCTAACACAAAGAAAGTCTGGATATGTCAAACCTGTTTCATGGTACAGTCCTGTGCAGTTAACTCCGGTATGACTGATGTCAACAACAGAAAAAAGCCAGAATTACATTAAACTGGAGCTCCACTGTCTCCTTCAGCATGAGAGCGTTTAAGTACGACTTCTGGAATCTGGTTTCACTTGTTACCCCGAACAAACAAATCTTAAATGTCGCCTTTTTTCTTTGACATTATCAAACAGGAGCAGCTTGAGGGGTGAGCACATTTTTTACTTATTCCACAGCAGGTGTCTTTATTGATCATTTCAATCTTTCAACATGTCACTGGGATCATATGTAGCTTTGTTAACCTCCATGTTTCCCTTCACAGATTCTATAGTAAAATCTCTGGAACAAAGCGGTCGAGCTCAGGATGAACCAACACCATCAGAGCTGCAGATATTCTCAGCAAATATTGTTTATTCAGAACAGTTTTTTTTCCAGGCATATCAAATGCATTATTACAAGGAGTTTTCAGTTTTGCTGCTTAAATGCAAATGATGATAATCATTTTGAAAAATGGTCTGCCACCGCAGCGTGTTTGGATAAAGGCTGTATAATTGGGGTGTTGTATTATTGTCCTTTGGTACCTCACAGGGCTCCTAGAGAACTTTGTTCCTCCAAATTCATTTAACATGTTGTTTAATCCAAATTACCACAAGGAACAGGAAGTGTAAGCACAAAAAAAAACTCACATAAATGAGAACGCTTCGGCTTGGCCCCAGTGGAATCTGGTTATTTAGATAGTTAGCCGAGATTTAATTTGAGATCTGACTCAGAGGTAGTCAGATAGAAGAGGTGGATGGATTTTAGTTTGTGGAACAACATTAAAAACAAACATTAAGAAAGTTCAGCTGCAACATACAGAGCTGTTGTTACTCTACACAATCCACTTCCACAGAACACAACTTGTACAGTTTTAACTGTTTCCTAGCCATCTGATAATTGAATAATCATATCAGTAACTGTTTAAGAACAAAAGGTCTAATTTCAGCTTCGTAAATCGAAATATTTTCTGATTTCTTTCCTCCTTTTTCATAGTAAACTGAGTATGATTAGATTGTGAATGAAGCACGACATTTAAAGACATCATTTTAGGCTCTGATTTACATTTTTAACTATTTTTGACATTTATAGATCAAACCGCAAATCAAATAATCAAAAAATAATCAACAAATTATTTTACATTTCTAAAAATTATTATTATCATCATTATTAGTTGTTTCCCTATTTAAGAAATTGTCCATATTTCTACCATCTGCTGTATGATATGATGTAGCTCTGGCTCCACCTCCTCACTAATCCCAATTTAANGCCGAACCTATAGGGGGCAGCGTAACGACAAGTATAAAGCCATGCTAGCCAATCAGAATCCTGGAAAAAACACAACAACGAATGGCACGATTTACTTCCTGTTACTTCAACGATAATGTTTGTTTGGGCCGACAGAGAAGTGGAGCTACTCCTAAACGTGGTGTTAGAGTACAAAGCAAGTAAAATACTATACCACTAAATATTAACTTACTTTCACAGTAGCCAACCTGTAAACATGGGTCACACATATGACGCTGATGACATTTTTGTTGCATACTGTGACGTCAAACTCCGTCTCCTCCTGTCTACACGCAAACGTAAAGACAGACACCTCCACTGTGGCCAGAATTCTTAGATATGATCGTTTTCAGTGACTTGTAGCTTTGTTTACGTGTAAGCCAAAGGCCCAGACGCATTGAAACAACAGCATTTTTGCTACACGTAAACAGGGACTTATTAAGAACGTGACCCAAAAGGAAAAACTGAGTAGGAGGTAATTAGACCCAACTGTGAAATCATGAGTTTTTATGGGAGACGTCACATTATGAGGAAGAAAGAGGAAAACCTCTGCAAGAGTACAGATGCTAGTGGTGGACAAAGAGTAAAGAAAAAGTCCCAAGTTATGCCAAATCTGTCTCACAAAAATCACATTCTTACAACTAAATAGCATGCTGAAAGTAATGTATTTTCTGACCAAAAGGTAAAACCGTGACGTAGAGGAAAGGCTTGTAGTCTGAAAGAGCCACAAAGTCTTGGTAAAAATGGAGGCATACGTCAGCAACAGGACTTTCAGCCAGGAGATCAGGGCTCATCTCCAGCGTAACACCATTGTTGTTAGAACACAGTTCAGTTTCACTCACTGATTAGGTTTAGAAAAGCTTTGCTAAAGTTTAGGCACCAAAATTACATGGTTAGTTGAAATAACAGGGTTCAAATACAACCCTTTCACAATAGGGTCCTTTTTATGACACCCTTGCTGCCAGATCTACTGAATTCTTTTATTTGCAGTGAGGAAAAAAATACCAAACTACTGCAGAAATTCTACTAGTGGCAAGTTTTTTTTAAAACATTCGTCAGCTTGTGTTGATAACTATGGTAATTAGGTAAGAAATATAGAAAAAATAACAGAAAAACTGGTAAATTAATACATTTTCACGACTAATCAAGTAAAAAGAGTTTAGTTATTAAGTAAATAAAGATACCTAATTCCACCAACTTGGCATATTTTGTTGGTTGATCATATTATATTTATTAGATGTTGTCTTAACTGAAAAAGATTGACGTTACTGTTAAAGCTGTTGAGTTTTTTTCCTTGTTGAGCCCAAACATTATTCTTTTAGAGCCTCATGCGGATCATCACCCTTCATGAATTTAACACACTTCATCCACTTGGCTGTCCACATCCTCTGATGCAAAAATAAACCAAACCACACAAACACGCACACGTCCAAGCACAATATCGGACAACAATGTGCACTAATGGCGGCACACGTGCGGCGCTCACGACGCACATGCACACACAAGTTTTTATTTCACACTTCTCCTGAACTTCCACTGAGGCTGAACAGATGTTTTGTCCAACAGAGATCTGAGCTGCATGTTTCCCTGAGCACAGAGGGGAAAAAGGAGGAGAGAAAAGTTGGAACAAAGCACAGAATCCCCATCAGACTCCATGTCAGCTGTTCAAAATAGTCCATCAACACACACACACACACACACACTCTGCTGGCAATCTAAAAGCACGATGTAAGCACAACTCTTTACTTATGAAAGGACATATGTCACGTGTTTGCGTGTGTGCAGCCGTAAAAAGTGTCTCTGAAGCTCCTTTTATGAAATCCTTCAATATAATCAACAAGCACAATCTCTCCCTGCTGTTTCTGGTTTATAGTGTGCGTCATGTTGTCAGCTGTTTATTAATGGATTCCCACTGGAGCAGCACATGCTACTCACTGATTGCTGCTACACAGGAGCGATTCAACCTACTTACTGTACGGCCATTTTAAGAACGCTTTCATAGTCTTTTCTCGGGAAAATCTTTGTGTTTGCAGGCAATCAAGCATGTTGTGTTGTGTTTGGGATAAACAGAAGAAGAAGAAGAAATGGTAATTCTGTGCTGCTCAGACAAGAACAGAAAAGAAAAAAAAAAAAACGAGCTGCACAGAAAGAAACTTCAGCAATAACGCTAAAATTAAATGTCATGATAAGTTACGGTTTACAGCTTTAATCTGTGGCGTAAATTTTGTTTTAACTCCAGTCAGACTGCAATTACACACTTTAAATTAGCGGCACTGCTGCATATTGTACAAGGCATCATGCTCGGAGTCATTAGCCGGAGCGACAGCACAGTGATGATTATTATTCCCATCATTGCACATGCACCTTTGTGCAGCTTCTGTAATTCATTCATTTATTTATTCACTTCGGATCTCATGGTGATGTGGTTATAATTAACACAACATACATCATCATGTGTCACTTTTTAGAAACAATTAAACACGTGGCCGTGGATGCATCGGAAACTTTTCGCAAACACGAACCTGCACAGCCGAGAAAGTCTTAATTAAAGCGAGGAGGAAGTTGCAGTGTCGAGTGTTTGTGGGAGAGAAGACTTGTTTTTCTGTCTTATCCCGCTGCCTCCGTCGTAATGATTCTACGCGCTGCTTTGTTTGTTGTGAAGCACTCTGAATATTGTTTTTCACATGAAGTTTATTATCAGTGTCTCACCCCTAATGTACCTTGACCAGCAAACAGGAAAAAAAAAAAAACATGCATCTAGTTTATTTTTATACGAAACCATCAGAAAACAGAACCCACCCACGCCAGCCACTCCTGCTTCGCGATTGTCATGTAGCTGTTCTGATTTCCTGCTAATTGTGATCCTGAGATGAAAAATTAACCATCAGCTCTGAGGTCAGGCGCTCTTCGCTGCAGGTCATTACAATGGGAGCTAAATGACTGACTGCTGTAATGTGACGATGTTGAGCTCACAGAAACAGTCAGGGTGAGTAATTGGCCCAGTGCAGCAGAGATATTTGTATTTCCCCCGCAGAGAAATAACCGCACCCCCCCCAGAGCACCGCAAAGAGAGCGAATCGGCAGGCAAGACGAACTTGCGGAGCCTTACAAGTCAAGATAATTCTCAAGTGCAGTGGGGAGAAATTGGCAGATTGAGAGGAGAATAAGTGAGAGAGGCAAAAATCCTTTGCATTTTAATGAAAACTTTGAATTGAACGTTTTTAAAAAAAAAAAAAAAAGGAAGGGGGAGGAAGACAGTAGTACATAAACAAAAAAAACAAACAAAAAAAAACAAGCAATACAGCGTTAGCTTTGGGGGGGTTTGATGGAATTTTTAACCAGGCGAGAGTATGTGTGTGTGTGTTACGCCATCATGATGAGGACGACTGACACACAAACCTGGTGGAGGTGTGAGGAGAATGTGTGATGACTTCAGCCATCAGCTCACCTGAGCGATCAGGGACTTCGGAGGAGGAGGAGGAGGAGGAGGTGGAGGCCGATCGGCTGCTTGAAGAATTCATGAGGTCCTGACAGAAACGTCTCATAAGCAGCGACTGTTTCACATAGTCAGCTGGACAGAGATATTTTACAACTAATGAAGGGTAATAGCCAAAATGATGGACCAACATTCCTCACAGTGACCTTTCAGGTAGGCTCGGCCCTGTTTGCGTGTCTTGTGTGTGCGCTGAGCCAACGGCAGCCTGATAAAAGCGGATCGAGCAAAGCTTCTTGAAGGACGAGTGACCTCATACATCATGCTGGCATTCCTCTGCACAGTGGTGAAATGAGGGATTTACTATCCCACTCCTTCCCTCCTCGCATTCGAGCGCGCGCACACTGCATTTATCCCACTATACTTGCGAGGACCCTCATTGACATAATGCATCCCCCCCCGCTTGAAACATTTCGCTGATCCTACATGACCAAACTTTGCTTTGACCTGCAGCTAATTATGACACCACATCAATTCTGAACAACAAAGAAATGAAAAAAGTCTCCGCTGTTGTTCTGAAATTAACATTTTTTTTCAAAGGCATCCACAAAGGCTGAGTCAGGAGGTACAACGGGAGGATGGAGACATTATTTTGCCACTGGACTTTTATAGTTTGTATCCACAGGACCCGTCACTTCAACGCTTCCCGTCTATGCGTTCTGGTGAAGCCGTGTTGCGTTCTAGAGAGGTCTCGGCTACTTTATGCAAACAAGGAGCGTCGAGCATGGTCGGACTCCTCACGAAACTTTCCAAACACTTTTAAACTAAACCTTGTTCATCTAAAATGAAGACAAATTCAGCAGCTTATTTCGCGCCTGAAATGTTTTTGGAAACATTTTGTTGAACTGTTTTTTCGTAATAAAGGAGAAAGTGTCCAAGCGAGTCTCCACGTTGATGCAGTTTGAAATCCAGGAGCGGAGAGCCTTCAAGTGAAGCGTTGCCTGATCGGATGCAGCAAATATTTGCAAGGACACAGGTGGGTGAATCCTGTGTTGATTCCTGCTGATGAGCACCGACCAGCGGCATGTAAAACCTCCCCATTGACAACGGAGCATCACTCAGGAGCATCAGGTCATTCATCTTGGGCTTAAGTTACATTTTCAGGCCTTATTTACATCAAATTTTCTCTTTCTGGTTCAGTTCAGGCAAAATATCTCGCTTTGTTCGACACTTTCATATGTTAGCAGCTTGGTTAAGGCTCGGCTTGGGTTCAAACATGACACTTAAACTCAATATTGAAGCTTCTCCTCCATTTTCTGGGTTGCTAAGTTCGCCCAACGTATTATTCAAAGTTCCACATCTGATATTTATTTAATGTCATAAGGTCAGAATCACTGATGATGAAACTGAACGTTGAACACTGAACTAACATTTATTCAAATTCCAGATGGTTGAGAGTCAAAATACATTCGAGGTCACAACCCCTGAACTCCACCACATGATCTCACTACAAACATCATATCTCCTGTGACTGACGCAGCAAGAAAACAAGGCAGACTGTCTATTTCTGTAGTAATTACAAAACAAAGCAAATTAGCAAGTTCTCCAGCTTAACATTACGGCATGAAATCAGCAGCAACAAGTCAAC